TGAGTAAGACTTTTAAGCAGTTCAACATTCACAAGGCCGCAGGGCCAGACGGATTACCAGGACCTGTACTCCGAGCATGTGCTGACCAACTGGCAAGTGTCTTCACTGACATTTTCAACATGTCCCTGACTGAGTCTGTAATACCAACATGTTTCAAGCAGTCCCCGTGCCCAAGGACACTAAGATAACCTGCCTAAATGACTACCGACCCATAGCACTGACGTCTGTAGCCATGAAGTGCTTTGAAAGGCTGGTCATGGCTCACATCAACACCATTATCCCAGAAACCCTAGACCCACTCCAATTTGCATACCGCCCCAACAGATCCACAGATGATGCAATCTCTATTGCACTCCACACTGCCCTGTCCCACCTGGACAAGAGGAACACGTATGTGAGAATGCTATTCATTGACTACAGCTCAGCATTCAACACCATAGTGCCCTCAAAGCTCATCACTAAGCTAAGGATTCTGGGACTAAACATCTCCCTCTGCAACTGGATCCTGGACATCCTGGACTTCCTGACGGGCCGCCCCCAGGTGGTAAGGGTAGGTAACAACACATCTGCCACACTGATCCTCAACACGGGGGCCCCTCAGGGGTGCGTGCTCAGTCCCCTCCTGTACTCCCTGTTCACCCATGACTGCATGGCCAGACACGACTCAAACACCATCATTAAGTTTGCCGACGACAACAGTGGTAGGCCTGATCACCGACAACGATGAGACAGCCTATAGGGAGGAGGTCAGAGACCTGGCCGTGTGGTGCCAGGATAACAACCTCTCCCTCAACGTGACCAAGACAAAGGAGATGATTGTGGACTACAGGGAAAAAAAGCGTACTGAGCACGCCCCCATTCTCATCGACAGGGCTGTAGTGGAACAGGTTGAGAGCTTCAAGTTCCTTGGTGTCCACATCACCAACGAACTGTCATGGTCCAAACACACCAAGACAGTCGTGAAGAGGGCACGACAAAGCCTATTCCCTGTCAGGAGACTGAAAAGATTTGGCATGGGTCCTCAGATCCTCAAAAAAATTCTACAGCTGCACCATCGAGAGCATCCTGACTGGTTGCATCACCACCTGGTATGGCAACTGCTCGGCCTCCGACCGCAAGGCACTACAGAGGGTAGTGCGTATGGCCCAGTACATCACTGGGGCCAAGCTTCCTGCCATCCAGGACCTCTATACCAGGCGGTGTCAGAGGAAGGCCCTCAAAATTGTCAAAGACTCCAGCCACCCTAGTCATAGACTGTTCTCTCTGCTACCGCACGGCAAGCGGTACCGGAGTGCCAAGTCTAGGTCCAAAAGACTTCTCAACAGCTTCTACCCCCAAGCCATAAGACTCCTGAACAGCTAATCATGGCTACCTGGACTATTTGCACTGCCCCCCCACCCCCAACCCATATTTTTACACTGCTGCTACTCTTAATTATTTATGCATAGTCACTTTAACTCTACCCACATGTACATATTACTTCAACTACCTCAATTAGCCGGTGCCCCCGCACATTGACTCTGCACCGGTACCCCCCTGTATATATAGCCTCCCTACTGTTACTTTATTTTACTTCTGCTCTTTTTTTCTCAACACTTTTTTGTTGTCGTTTTATTTTACTTTTTTATTAAAAATAAATGCACTGTTGGTTAAGGGCTGTAAGTAAGCATTTCACTGTAATGTCTGCACCTGTTGTAGTCGGCACATGTGGCCAATAAAATGTGATTTGATTTGATTAGATCCTACAGCTATTGTATGCAGTAATCATATGCCTATGAACCAGAGTGATACTGTTAGCACTGAGGTGGTGTGCCCTAGTCGGAAGTCCACTGTGTGCAGCTCCCCCTGCACTAATACAAATAACCAGAGTATGTCTTCCTCTGCTAAGCTTCCCAGTAAAGCAAGAAAAATAATCAAACATCCCAGAAAAGTGTTAAAAATCACCCACGTTAACATATGTAGCTTAAGAATCAAGGTTCATGAAATCAATAATTTGCTAGTAACAGATGACATTCATATTCTGACTATCTCTGAAACTCACTTAGATAATACCTTTGATGATACAGTGGTAGCAATACAAGGTTATAACTTTTACAGAAAATACAGAAATGTCAACGGGGGAGGGTTTGCGGTCTATATTCAGAACCACATTCCTGTAAAGCTTAGAAAGGATCTAATGTTAATTACTGTTGAAGTAATATTGCTATAGATCACCAAGTGCTAACAGTCAGTATCTGGATAACGTGTGAAATGCTTGATAATATATGTGATATCAATTGAGAGTTATACTTTCTGGGTGATTTAAATATTGACTGGCTTTCAGCAGGCTGCCCACTCAAGAGAAAGCTTCAAACTGTAACTAGTGCTTGCAACCTGGTTCAGGTTATCAATCAACCTACCAGGGTAGTTACAAACAGTACAGGAATGAAATCATCAACATGTATTGATCATATCTTTACTAATGCAGCAGAAATTAGTTTGAAAGCAGTATCCAAATCCATCAGATGTAGTGGTCACAATATAGTAGCCATATCTAGGAAAACCCAAGTTCCAAAGGCTGGGCCTAATATTGTGTATAAGAGGTCATACAATAAGTTTTGTAGTGATTCCTATGTTGTTAATGTGAAGAATATTTGTTGGTCTGTGGTGTGTAATGACGAGCAACCAGACGCTGCACTTGACACATTTATGAAATTGCTTATCCCAGTTACTAATAAGCATGCACCCATTAAGAAAATGACTGTAAAAACGGTTAAATTCCCATGGATTGATGAGGAATTGAAAAATAGTATGGTTGAGAGAGATGAGGCAAAAGAGATGGCATATAGGTCTGGCTGTACAACCGACTGGCAAACGTACTGCATATTGAAAAATCCTGTGACTAAACTGAATGATAGTAGAAAGCTTTGGAGGTCCAAAAAGGCAAACTCCGTTCCATCATTCATTGAATCAGATGGCTCATTCATCACAAAACCCACTGATATTGCCAACTACTTTAATGGTCTAAGGCAGCGTCGTCCGGGTTTGGCCGGTGTAGGCCGTCATTGTAAATAACAATTTGTTCTTAACTGACTTTCCTAGTTAAATAAAGGTAAAATAAATAAATAAATACAAATCTCTCCTGGCTCAAAGTGGAGGAGAGATTGACTTCATCACTACTTGTATTTGTGAGAGGTATTGACATGTTGAATGCACTGAGCTGTTTGTTTGAACTACTGGCACACAGCTCGGACACCCATGCATACCCCACAAGACATGCCTCCAGAGGTCTCTTCACAGTCCCCAAGTCAAGAACAGACTATGGGAGGCGCACAGTACTACATAGAGCCATGACTACATGGAACTCTATTCCACATCAAGTAATTCAGGCCAGCATTGAAATTAAATAAAAAAAAACAGATCAAAATACACCTTATGGAACAGCGGGGACTGTGAAGTAACACAAACATAGACACATGCATGCAAACACATTTTAACATACACACATGTACACATGGATTTTGTGTTATAGATATGTGGTAGTAGAGTAGAGGCCTGAGGGCACACACTTAATATGTTGTGAAATCTGCTGAAAATGTATAACTGCCTTAATTTTGCTGCACCCCAGGAAGAGTAGCTGCTGCCTTGGCAGCAGCTGATGGGGATCCATAATAAATACAAATACAAACTGAAATATTTATCTGTGACAAGAGTTAAGTTGTGGTTTTGAGGAGGCATATACTGACAGCAAAAAAGGTATTCTGAATTCTTGAAAGGCACGCTTTGCTAAAATTAGTGACATTTGCATGATTAGTGACAGTTTTCATGAAGGGGGAAGTACTGTAACTATTCTTAAAATACTTGATTTCTGATCTGTATATTATGTTTTGTGACTTATACTGTGATTGAGTACACTGTTCTAAGCGTTGTGATGCTAAAGCTCTGTGCAAATCAGTATTGGGGTCAATTCGGAATATTTCAATTTAACAATTAATTTTAATTGACCACATCCCATAGGAAGCAGAATTTGAATTGAATTTGAATTTAAGTAGAATTGAACTCAAAGCAATTCAACTGAGACGTGAAACAAGAGTCTCATTCATTTGACAAATCTTTTATCAAAAGGATATGCCGCTTATCATTAATGCAAACAATACACATACCATTTCAAATATTAGTTTGATTATAACTCAGAGATTTCAAACAGTATTTTCCTTTGTTGTACTGAAGTGTTTGATCTAATGCATTCTAGGAAATATATTTTTTTCTGATTTAAAAACATATTTAAATGTAATGCACACTCTATAATGCCCTTCTAGCAAATCAGAAACAAGTATTCAACAATGCTGTGGTATAAGAATTATTACCGACAACCCACAACATGACCTTAGAATATTTCCAGACCACTGTCATTATTTACAATTGTTTTAGGAGAATGAGTTTTAAAAATGAAATGTTTCAACCTTATGCTACATGGTAGTGGTAACCATACATGATGTCAAAATAAACATGACTATGGTGATAGAATAAATAAGCCATTAGAATTTCATTGAATTAGATTCTACTTCCTTTAATTAAAATTATACTTCCTGTGGGTTGTGGACAATTCAATTCAAATTCAAGATTTGAATAGGAATTAATGAGCAATCCACAACTCAATTCAGAATCGACCCCAACCCTGGTGCACATTGAGTTTGTAACGGTGAGAGTGTGTGTGTGTGTGGTAGGGGTGACGCCATTAGTATGGCAGAATGGCCCTACCTCGGAATGGTGCTCATCATTCTGCTGCAGGACCTCAATACAAAGTTCTCCCAGTCGCATCATGTCCTCCAATCTCTTCTCCGGGGCAGCCTGAGCATCAGCTGTGACATTAAGCACACACAAACATGCCAGCACTGTGACACCAGCACACAGATACACTAAAACACTACCCGCCACCCAGTCCACTCTATTAAGAACACTGACAAACCAACAGCATGTGCATATACTTGAACAAAGCCCAAACACAGAGACATGTAATATCACCACACGTGTGAGCCGGGCTTGCACAAACCCTCGATCTGAGCGTATTGAGTCAACTGGGAGTAGTTGATGAGGGCAGCTTTCTCCAGACATTTTTTGACCACCTTCTTCATCTCATCAGGAGGAACAGGAGTGGTGATGTCCTTCATCAAAACCTAGAATCCACCAAAACAGACTCAGCAAACCTAACGGCAAACGGAGTGACCCAAAACCTGTTTATAGTGGAAGGCCACAAGGATAACGCAACACATTCTTGTCTACACAGCCATATGCAGTATGAGTAACGGAATGCAGAGACCTGTAGACTCAAAATAATAACAATAGTCTGACTTTTTCAGCAAAACATACCCTTTCTAGCAGGGAGAGTGTCGCTTTGAGGGCGCCATCTGGTCGGCCAAAGGGGAAACAGTACCTGTGGACACAAGTGTGAGTGGACAGTGCATCTACACCCTCATTTCTTAAGAACAAGGACGATACTGTGGGAATGCTTAACTGCGTTTTGCATCACGACGCATCATACGGGGGATGATTTCTGTATTTTGAAAGTTACATATCTTGAAAACTTGATTGCTGACAAGCAAAACATTTTGGCACTATGTCAACAATGGACTAATGAAACAAATACCATAAGATAGTTTATTGGTGGATTTGCCCTTTAATGCATGAAAGGAAGCCAATGCATTACATAATGCAGGACATCTATTGACTACAGATAAGACACTGATCGGCACAAATATGTAGGTTAAACTGTGGGTGATGAAGCCTCAACAAAGTAGAGGTCAGAAGTGGGAGGCAAATAAGATAAGTTAAGATAGTACTTTATTAATCCCCCAGAGGGGAAATTTGATTGCACCAGCCAATACATACCCCATGCCCATGACCACACATTCTCTGGGGACTCTGGTCCTCTTGACTGGTAACAAGCTGAACTACCGGACAACATCTCTCCTAAATGTGGATATCATATTTTAAAGTGGATTTGAGGTGTTCGCCGTCAAACGTGTCCCTTCTTAGTGCGTGGTGAGGAATTACCAAACCACTAATAGCTCTTAATCAACTTCGCTGTGTTCCCCTTTAATCCTAAACAAACTATACGCACCCCGCTCCGGTTTGCTGCTTATCAGCATAATCCCAAAATTGTCTAGGCTATTGTTTACTGCCATTAGCCTCTCGTTGAGGAGTGTTGCTAATGACTCTTGCTGCTTTCAACAGCCCTCTGCCAACTCCATGTCCCCATCCACCCTCTCTCCTCCTTGGCGCCAGATGGAGGGCCCTTCACAGGGATGAAGGGGCTTGAAACACCAAAGTTCAGGGATATGAATGGGGCAAGTTCATTGAACAAACCATCCTTCAAGGTCTGGATCTGTGTCCACGGCCCTGACAATAAGGCCATACAAGGCAATAATGGTGAATAGCAGCTCACAGATGTAGGGAGGACTAAGAATCCAATATACCCAATTTTGCACCTGTTCAACCCATACGAGTCTAAGCCCTGTCTAAGCCAGGGGAGGGGTTATTTGATGAAAAAAATGTTTTGCCCTTACTGCTATTAGCCCATACAAACGCATTGAATAACAGATTCACTACATAGAACAACAGATAGTCCCCCCAAAACAATCTTAAGGAAGTTTGTTCTGAAGTGTCTGTCCTATTTCTTAGAGATATCAGGAAACATTTTATTTTTACATGTATTTAACCCCCTTTGGCACTAAACAGTGTCCATATATACATCCATTAATTTCTTTCAACTGGTACCAGGGGACTTTCAGACGAGTCTTGTGAGGCCTGTGGGCGTCCTAGAGCAAAACAACCGACATGTAGTGTGTAGCCCAAACTGTTCGGACACTACAGACAGAAGTTGGCAGATCGGCTGTACCGACTTCAGACAAGTCCCAAAACGCTTTCCATAGAGGGGTCATAATAGTTTGTAGGCCAAACCATTCGGACTCTACAGACGATTGGGATTTTGTGAAAAAACATATCTCTATCTTAAACTGACAGATTGTTATGGGGATTTTTTGATTATGCTAATTAGACCTTAGGGGGTTAAATGTATGCAAGGTTCTTATTATACTCAGTTACTAGTGCATTACTGACAAAATGTCATGAAGCCTACATACCATTGTTTGTAATCATGTCAATCGTAGAGGAAGTAGTACCTAAAATGGATGATCTGGTTGTCCAATAGACACAGGAGACGGCTTCTTATGTCCTCAAACTGTTCTCTCTCTTCCTCAGTGACAGAGCCTATCCCATCCGGCCTGAAAAAAAACACACAAAAGTTTGATGAGCATTTCATTATAGGGGCAATCTGCAGTTCAAACAACAACAAAGCAGACACCCCACCACCATTTTGGGTAAACAGCTGAGGGATGGGGCTGGAGTAAAGTAACCACTGAAATTCATAGACTGGGTTATGGATGCAAGGACTGACCATCCATGAAATCAAAATTATAGTTTTAACCATGTTTTGAAAATACACAGTGTTTGTTTAGAATTACATTGTTTACAAACAATGTTAAAAAAAACAAGCTTATATTTTGGGTTCTGATTGGGTTCGTATGGGTGGTCCTCTGTAGCTCAATTGGTAGAGCATGGCGCTTGTAACGCCAGGGTAGTGGGTTCGATCCCCGGGACCACCCATACGTAAAATGTATGCACACATGACTGTAAGTCGCTTTGGATAAAAGCGTCTGCTAAATGGCATATTATTATAATATTATTATTAGACAGTTGCTCATTTATTTAAGTTATATTTCTCAAGAATCAATGGCTATATACAATTAATTAATAAAGTCAACAAATGGATGTAGCAATCACAGATTGCCCCTTTAATGTTTGTAAAGCTTCCATTCCCTTCTTGCTTTCCCATTAATAGGCACTCTGGGGAAAGAGAAGAAAATGCAATCACTACCCGGACTGCTAACCTTGACTTCCTGGGCTTCTTTCAGCTGAAAGAGAAAGGCGCTGCCTCAAAACGACACTCGCTTTCGCCAAGAGGAGGGGGGAGAGGTTGTCTGTGGTAATGAGTTGTGCTTATAAAAGCCTATGCAGTGAGACACTGAACATGATGTATTAGCCTCTAGCAGGGGAGAACGAGATGCATCTGCAACAATATTCGTAACTTGAAGTTGAAACAGAGAAACTGAATTGTAAATTGCAATTTAATTATGAAGCATTTACTAATTGTTTGTTGTTTTTTGTCTGTTTTTACTCTGCCAAGAGACTTAGAAAAAAAGCTAACTAAGGTAATTCTGGAATAAATTCGAGTGTAAACCATCCAATCAAACATGTGCCTGGTTTTAGAGTAAAATAATAAACCTCACATTAGAAATGTAAAAAGGTAATTAGCTGTCATAAAGGACTCCATAAAAAAGAATCTCAAGAAATGGAGTGACAATGAAAGCTTGTATTGTATTGTGTCTGAACATCAGGCCTTCAATTCAATTTCTCTCCGTTCAATCCCCAAAAGCCCTGGTCTACAATGAAAAACAGCCCTCTCTTCACAACAACATTTGTAAGGACTACTTGTAAACCCTGTTGTTCCTTAAATCTGTCAATTCATTAACTCCCCCCTGCTGCCACCCCCTTTAACAAGCACCAGCTAATCCCAAAGGAACACTAAAAGGATAGTCCTATGGAGGGGTGGGCGAGTGTGCTCACTCTTGGGATGGGCAAGGACATTTTCTTTCATGTCGTGGTAAAAAGAAGGGAGTGGATTTCTTGTTCTGTTCCTCCCTCACACTGTCCAGATGAAGATACAAGGGCCATGTCAGGCAGCCCTCCCTCCCCATTCTTTGGTCATACACTAGGCCAAGGTTCCCCAACAGCGGCCCGCGGGCCATTGTGGTTTTAGCAAAAAAAAGTAAACATATATATTTTTTATTATTTATCATTTTCATTATTGGACATAAAATACTGTAAAAAACACCAGGAAATCAGCTCCAAGTGATTTAAATTTTGGAACTCTGTTCACAAGTATTCCCACGCATAAGAGAGAGACACGTGATCGTATACAAATGTAAGCAAGGTTTGAATTTATTATGTTTTAGTTAAATATTATATCTGTTTGGGCTTCTTGCAGTTTACAAATTATTTGTAATAATGTTCTGCTACCCCAACCATCCGCTCAAGACAAAAAATCTGTCCATGGCTGAATCTAGTTGATGATCCCTGCAATAGGCCTTAGTCCCAGCCCAAGCCCATGGGTCCTGTGAGCTGACCAGTTGCTGAAATTCTATTGACAAGGATAAGGAATCTGTTCATTTAGCAAAGGGAACATGCCTTATACAAATATAGACACATTAATACAAGCAAAACATCAGATTGCACGGTTGATCACTACTGACAGTTATGTGGTATGGAGTCGGACAAAGAACAGACTGTCACTTCAGTTGTTCAGTCCTCTGATACATACCATCTCTATGTTGGTATCCTTGTAACATTCAAAGTGTTGCAAGGATATGAGCACTCTAAGCCTGCCTTGTTAACAACAAAAAGTTGGCACCAGGCCAAATTGAAAATACCCTGATAGGCCATTAAAATCTCAAGTAGAACCCCTGTGCTTGTAACTGGCTTCCCACAATAGCTTTTCTCCAACTGCTATCAAATCCAATCAAACTTCCTGTCATGCTTGGCTGCACACGTCAGAGTTGGGAGCGGTGCGACAGCTTGTCGAGGGTAGACGCATTGTTGATGCTTAATGAAGCAAGCGTGTTTGAGTTGGGGCTAAACGCTGACCCCCACTCACAAAGGGTTAACAGGCTCCAGGATGGGGCTGTAGGTTACTGCAGTCTTGTCGGGACATCTGTAGTTTCATGTCAGGGTGTTTACAGTGGATACGGCTCATCTGTAAGTGATGACTGTCGTCTTCGACCACGCTCCAAACCTCCGGATTTCTGGGTAAATCACATCCGACGGAGTGGGCGTCATCTGACGGTGAGGCGGTGGCCACGCGTGGCAGCGCACCGTGTGTGTCACCTCCCTTTAGCAGCATGGGGAACAGACATGGCTGGCAGTTAGGAGAGACAGGACGGGTGGCATGGGGAGTCAGAAGTAAAAGCTCCTGTCACATTCCGAGCCCATGAGAGCCGGACGGCTCTGAGAGGCGGGGGATATGAAGTGACAGGTGAGAAGGAGGTGAGCAGAAGATGATGTGTCCGCTGTCACTCTTCACACGGCTCGTAACGACATACAGTGCTGCCCTTTCACTCCCCTTGCCATGGGCTCCTGTAACCTTGCTCCACTCCAAACACACCTGTCTCCATGAAGATTGGAGCCACACCTGCACGGACCCATGTTGGTGACAAAGCTCAATGAGTCCACTCTTTCGTCATCTGCCAATCAAAACCAGTGATCCACAGAAAGTTGTCACAAAGTTAGCAAGTGTCCCCTTTTCAAGGAACACCTTTTTCCAGAAATCACAAGTCCTTTTCACAACCATTGTACAAAGAGTGTGATTATGAAAGACTACGTACAGGGAAATGTACTGGCGGAAATGTAATTTTGTGCAACAGCATCTAACCTATGACAGCTAAAAAATGACAGCTCTGATAAGGAAATAGTACCCTCAAAATCAACCAGTTCTTTGACAACTATTGGTCTCAAAGTGCAAAGGCTAACCCCAAAATGCAAGGGTGCACACACACATCACAAGGAAAAGGCATGGGTTTTGTATATGGCAGATCTGACAGATTTTTTATATAATTTAAAATAAATGTTACATTCGCCAAGACCCACCCCTTTTCATTTACAAAGACAAGTAAGTTACAGATTGTATAAGGCTGTTGCATAAAGCTACCTCCATCTTTGTCTGTGGCCTTATGCTACCCGATGCCTTCTTCCACACCCTCTCTGGCAGCATCAGAGCACTGAATAGGCATCAATTATTCAAATTAGAACTCCAACTGACAAAAAGCCAGTTCCAGCAATCTCCCCTTTTTATACATGGTGATTACTCAGAGGCTAATCATTATGGTCTCTAATTGGCTAAATTACTCAACAAAGAGAGAAAGCACATATATTAGCATTTATCACAGGGAAAGTCAAGCATGGGGTTATTTGAGGTAAGTGGGAAACTAATAGCCGTAAGAGAACAGTAAAGGCGTCTGCATACTGCTCCTAGCAGAACTCGGCTAGACGAAGTGAACGTCTGTGCCTCCCATTCTCCCTTAAAATAACTTCGCTTGAAAAGCGGAAATAGTACTGTTGGTCCCTCTTGAGACACCGTAGCCAGTATACACTTCCTCAAAATAGTCAGAATGAATCTAAGATACAGTAATTCAAGAAATCTGTAATTAATTTGGAAGTTTTTGCAGAGGTCTTAGTCAAATGTTGCATGAAAAGTAGTTGTCTCGTTGAATGACGACAAACACTTCAAGTCGCAGACGTCGGCTAACGAACTTCGGCTTACCTCAGGGAAAACATTTTGTGTGCACGAACAACCGGAAAAAAAAATCCCCGAAAACAAACAAACGTTTCACAAAATGTAATCATATATAATGGGAAGCATGCGGATGCCTTCAGTAAGAGGGAAACAGAGTGGAGCTGTTAAGCTGACAAGTGGCCAAGGTATACTGCTCATATCAGACTAAACACAAGAAACAAATGACTTGTGCTTTTCAGAAAAGTACTGTACCAACTAATGTCTTGAAAATAAGATTATATTTCATTATAATTATTTGGTGGTCATGAATATTTTTGTGTGTGTAAAAACCTTGGATATTTGGTTAAATCTAAATGACAACCCTCAAACATATATCGTTTGAGAAAGTGTGTAGAAATTAATAATGTCATTGTATTTAGGTTAAAAGTTGGGTGAAAACAAGACGAAATGCCCTCATGTTGATGACTTTTTGCAAATCCAATTAATTTCCCACATTGATTCAACCAGTTTTTGTCCAGTGGGATGAGTCTTTTCACTGGTTTTAGATTAAATTAAAATAATCTTGACATTGACCATCTGAGCTCCGGAGACAACATTTCAGTTCAGCAAACAGTAAAAGCAAAAACCTGTAGTTGCTTTAGTACAACACTTATGTAACTAGTTTGTGGAGCTTGTTGATGTACGTACCTATTGCCATGGATGTGGGAGGCGCAGAAGGCATAGCTGTAATGTAGAAGGGTTGGGTCGACCAGGGTGTTGTTCTCAGAGTAGTCCATCAGGTCCCGGAGGTAGCTGAGGTGGCGGTGGCAGCCCCTCACACCGTAGCGGGCGCAGTACTCATCCAGCACAAACACCTGACCTGGACTGAACCATCCCTGTGGACACAAACAGAGGAAAGGCTAGAGAGGACAGCTTTGACTTATAGGGGAGTGCCACTGATGGTCTCTAACAGGATGGTCTGCCGGAATCTGTGGGAAAGCAAAATTGTTTTTAGTTAATGGAAATCTGAACTCCTTACGTATTTTTATTTTATTTGTGAAAAGATGGGAGCAGATTAATAGAGGGATGAGAAATGTGTAGCGCTGAAGTGGGGATCGAACCGGGATCCCCGCTGCGGGAGGGGAATGTACAGTTGAAGTCGGAAGTTTACATAAACCTTAGCCAAATTCATTTAAACTCAGTTTTTCACAATTCCTGACATTTAATCATAGTAAAAATTCCCCTGTCTTAGGTCAGTTAGGATCACCACTTAATTTTAAGAATGTGAAATGTCAGAATAATAGTAGAGAGAATGATTTATTTCAGATTTTATTTATTTCATCACATTCCGAGTGGGCCAGAAGTTTACATACACTCAATTAGTATTTGGTAGGATTGCCTTTAAAAAAATTTTACTTGGGTCAAACGTTTCGGGTAGCCATCCACAACCTTCCAACAATAAATTGGGTGAATTTTGGCCCATTCCTCCTGACAGAGCTGGTGTAACTGAGTCAGGTTTGTAGGCCTCCTTGCTCGCACACACTTTTTCAGTTCTGCCCACAAACTTTCTATAGGATTGAGGTCAGGGCTTTGTGATGGCCACTCCAATACCTTGACTTTGTTGTCCTTAAGCCATTTTGCCACAACTTTGGAAGTATGCTTGGGGTCATTGTCCATTTGGAAGACCCATTTGCGACCAAGCTTTAACTTCCTGACTGATGTCTTGAGATGTTGCTTCAATATATCCACATAATTTTCCTTCCTCATGATGCCATCTATTTAAGTGCACCAGTCACTCCTGCAGCAAAGCACCCCCACAGCATGATGCTGCCACCCCCGTGCTTCACGGTTGGGATGGTGTTCTTCGGCTTACAAGCAACCCCATTTTTCCTCCAAACATAAGGATGGTCATTATGGCCAAACAGTTCTATTTTTGTTTCATCAGACCAGAGGACATTTCTCCAAAAATTACGATCTTTGTCCCCATGTGCAGTTGCAAACCATATTCTGTTTTTTTAATGGCACTTTTGGAGCAGTGGCTTCTTCCTTGTTGAGCGGCTTTTCAGGTTATGTCGATATAGGACTAGTTTTACTGTGGATATAGATACTTTTGTACCGGTTTCCTCCAGCATCTTCACAAGGTCCTTTGCTGTTGTTCTGGGATTGATTTGCACTTTTTGCACTAAAGTACGTTCATCTCTAGGAGACAGAACGCGTCTCCTTCCTGAGCGGTATGACGGCTGCGTGGTTCCATGGTGTTTATACTTGCGTACTATTGTTTGTACAGATGAAAGTGGTACCTTCAGGCGTTTGGAAATTGCTCCCAAGGATGAACCAGACTTGTGGAGGTCTACAATTTTTTTTCTGAGGTCTTGGCTGATTTATTTTGTTTTTCCCATGATGTCAAACAAAGAGGCACTGAGTTTGAAGGTAGGCCTTGAAATACATCCACAGGTACACCTCCAATTGACTCAAATTATGTCAATTAGCCTATCAGAAGCTTCTAAAGCCATGACATCATTTTCTGGAATTTTCCAAGCTGTTTAAAGGCACAGTCAAATTAGTGTATGTAAACTTCTGACCCACTGGAATTGTGATACAGTGAATTATAAGTGAAATGATCTGTCTGTAAACAATTGTTGGAAAAATTACTTGTGTCATGCAGAAAGTAGATGTCCTAACCAACTTGCCAAAACTATAGTTTGTTAACAAGAAATGTGTGGAGTGGTTGAAAAAACGAGTTTTAATGACTCCAACCTAAGTGTATGTAAACTTCTGACTTCAACTGTATATGGTTCCGTAGAAGAGAACATTACTGCTTGACCAGACCACGGGCCATAGTTACGCCTTCTATGCCAACATTCTCTTGATTGGAAACTAGATGGTTTTTATATAGATCAGGGGTGTCAAACTCATTTCCCCCGCAGGCTGCATTCAGTCTTCCCCGAGGCCCGGAGGGCTGCACTTAAAATGTACTATATTTCCTTGCCGTCAAACTTTGCAAAACATATTCCTCATCTATTGCTTTTGGAATTTTCTAAGCTCCCCGACTGTCAAGTTTTCGTTTGGATTACTGTTAGCAAGCTGGACAGAGAGAAGAGACGATAAATTGAGGTTCATTATTTCTACACAGTTTCCATTTGGTTTTAGTCATTTCAAAGTCGATCGGGAAAAAATATATTATGATTATGTTTTTAGTTTTTTTACTCTCCATTATCACTGTAAATACAGACCCTCTGCAATAAGCTGTTAAAGAGAAAATTCCAGACCATTTCCAATGATTAAACAAATGAGCGCAAGGTTAACCCACCAACAATTAATTCACATAAAAAAATAATAATCATCCGTGAAGTAGGAAGTGCGGAGTGATCTGAAATCCTGGAACGTTCATTAGTTCATTCATCCTGCGCATAATAACTAAATTAGGCATGAATCTTACAAACCTAATTAAGACGCCTCTCGGAAGGAATATTAACAAATTAGCACCTCCGCCGAGGAATCGCCCACGACGACGCAAATAGATGGCATGGCAACCATGACTCTTGGGGTGGTGATGGTCGACCTGGGAGCGACCCAGACATGTGCTGTACTGTGCCCTAGAAATCTGTCAGTCTGAATCGTTTCTATTTCCATATTAATGTTGCTCTTGATAGTTAAATGGAAGGCTGAATAAATCTTTCTATTTTTCTTCAGATTTTGAGTCAGAAACAACAACATGCCAATCAATGGATACAAATGCTAACGGGCTCCAATTCTCGCTCTTCCTCATTCTGCAAATAATAGCAACCTACTCCATGAGACATAGAGACTGGGTCAGAGATTTCAATCCTGGATAGAATAGGATTCCTTCATGTCTTAATGTACTGGCAGAGACTCTTTGTACAGTCAATCAAATCTGGCTTCACTAAGTGAGTTGGATATGACCTGACTGACAAGGAGGTATTCACCACACATTTCCTTTTCTCTCTCTCGGTCACTTCTACTTCTCCAAATTCTCCCTTTAACTCTTCCTTTAGTTAGTCATTCTCTCTCCCTGTCTGGAATCGTTCCCGCTCTCGCTCTCCATCTGAATCGTTGCCTCTATCTCGCTCTCTCTCTCGTTCGTTCGTCCCCTCCTCTCTCTCTCTCGTTCGTTCGTTCGTCCCCTCCTCTCTCGTTCGTTCGTTCGTCCCTTCCTCTCTCTCTCTCTCTCGTTCGTTCGTTCGTTCCTCTCTCTCTCTCTCTCTCGTTCGTTCGTTCGTTCCTCTCTCTCTCTCTCTCTCTCTCGTTCGTTCGTTCCCCCCTCGCTCTCTCGTTCGTTCCCCCCTCGCTCTCTCGTTCGTTCGTTCCCCCCTCTCTCTCTCGTTCGTTCGTTCGTCCCCCCTCTCTCTCTCTCGTTCGTTCGTCCCCCCTCTCTCTCTCGTTCGTTCGTTCGTCCCCCCTCTCTCTTTCGTTCGTTCGTCCCCCCCCTCTTTCGTTCGATCATCCCCCCCTCTCTTCGTTCGTTCCCCCCTCTCTCTCGTTCGTTCGTCCCCCTCTCTCTCGTTCGTTCGTCCCCCTCTCTCTCTCGTTCGTTCACCCCCCCTCTCGTTCGTTCACCCCCCCTCTCGTTCGTCCCCCCCTCTCTCTCTCGTTCGTTCGTCCGTCCCCCCCTCTCTCTCGTACGTTCGTCCCCCCTCTCTCTCGTTCGTTCGTCCCCCCCCTCTCTCTCGTTCGTTCATCCCCCCCTCCTCTCCTCGTTCGTTCATCCCCCCCTCCTCTCTCTCGTTCGTTCATCCCCCCCTCCTCTCTCTCGTTCGTTCATCCCCCCCTCCCTCTCTCTCGTTCGTTCATCCCCCCTCTCGTTCGTTCGTCCCCCCCTCTCTCTCTCGTTCACCCCCCCTCTCTCGTTCGTTCGTTCGTCCCCCCCTCCTCTCTCTCGTTCGTCCCCCCCTCCTCTCTCTCGTTCGTTGCGTCCCCCCCCTCCTCTCTCGTTCGTTCATCCCCCCCCTCCTCTCTCTCGTTCGTTCATCCCCCCCCCTCTCTCTCTCTCTCTCTCTCGTTCATTCGTCCCCCTCTCTCTCTCGTTCATTCGTCCCCCTCTCTCTCTCGTTCATTCGTCCCCCTCTCTCTCTCGTTCGTTCACCTCTCTCTCGTTCGTTCGTCCCCCCCTCTCTCGTTCATTCATCCCCCTCTCTCTCGTTCGTTCATCCCCCCCTCCTCTCCTCTCGTTCCTTCATCCCCCTCTCTCTCGTTCGTTCATCCCCCCCTCCTCTCTCGTTCGTTCATCCCCCCTCTCTTTCGTTCGTTCGTCCCCCCTCTCGTTCATTCGTCCCTCGTTCATTCGACTCTTTGTACAGTCAATCAAATCTGGCTTCACTAAGTGAGTTGGATATGACCTGACTGACAAGGAGGTATTCACCACACATTTCCTTTTCTCTCTCTCGGTCACTTCTACTTCTCCAAATTCTCCCGGTCCGCGCCCTCTCTCTCTACGGATCGTTCGTCGATCCGCGCCCTCTCTCTCTACGGATCGTTCGTTCGCTCTCTCTCTCTCTCTACGGATCTCTCTACGGATCGTTCGTTCGCTCTCTCTCTACGGATCGTTCGTTCGCTCTCTCCCTCTACGAATCGTTAGTTCGCTCTCTCCCTCTGAATCGTTCGCTCGCTCTCTCCCTCTGAATCGTTCGCTCGCTCTCTCCCTCTGAATCGTTCGCTCGCTCTCTCCCTCTGAATCGTTCGCTCGCTCTCTCCCTCTGAATCGTTCGCTCGCTCTCTCCCTCTGAATCGTTCGCTCGCTCTCTCCCTCCCTCTGAATCGTTCGCTCCTCTCCCTCTGAATCGTTCGCTCCTCTCCCTCTGAATCGTTCGCTCCTCTCCCTCTGAATCGTTTTCTCTCTCCCTCTGAATCGTTCGCTCGCTCTTGGAATATCTCTCTC